GGTATTAAAGAGGGCACATACTGAATGGAGCACTGGGTGTTATATGCAAACAATGAATCATGGAACACTACATCAAAAACTAATGATGTAATGTACGGTGATTAACATAACATAATAAAAAAAAGAAAAAAAATAAAAACAGAATAAATATGATGTCTATCTTAAGCCAACTGTTACCACTATTCTTAATAGAGATACATAAGAAGTTTTTCTCATAAAATTCAGGAGTAAGACAAGACAGCCCATTATTACTTACATTGTTCTGGGAGATCTAGCTAATGCCATAATATATGATACTGAAATAAGCATTTTGACAATTGGAAAATAAGGTATTTATATTATTTGTAGAAAATATTTTTCTATTTAGAAAACTCAAGAGAATTAACAATGAAACCTCTTAGGTCTAATAAAAGGATTCACAAAGGTGGCCAAATAATTTTATACAAATCAATAGGTTTCCCATAGGCTAGCAATTGCCAGGTAGAAAATATAATGAAAAAGAATGTTCATTTAAAAAAATCAATAAAAGTATAAAACAAAGTATAAAGTATTTAGAATTTGTCTGTATAAGGAAAATCACAAAATCTTACTATGAATGCAACATTTAAAAAGACTGAATAAATGTGAAAACAGCCCATGTTCCTAGATAGGAAGAACAAATACTGTAAAGATAGCAATTGTCAAATTATTTTATATTTTTAATGCAATTCTAATGAGAATTTGAGTGGGATTCTTTTTGCGGGGCGGAGTTGGGGTGCTGACAAAAGATTTAAAAGTTTGTTTGGAAGAATAAATTGGTGAGAATGACTTAGCAGATTTTGAAATAGAGGACTGGTGACACATGACTTCTTAACCAAATGCTAAATGTATTACAAAGCTGTATGGAAACTATACTCAACAGTGAAAACACTAAGTTGGAAATAGACTTCAGTTTTCATAAGAATGTAATATTTTATAAAAATAGCATTTCTAATCAGTGGAGGAAAGATAGCTTATCCAGTACATGAGTTAGCTCAGAATGGTTTGCTGTACAGATAAGAAATAAAGATTACTCTTTAACACCACACACTGAAATATATTCTAACTAGATTAAAGAATATAATATATAAACAGCTAAAACATAAAAATCTAGAAGAAAATACAAACAATTTATTTCCTAAGTGAGATGACATTCTAAACAAAAGGCAAATGGAAAATAAGAAAAGGTTAATATAGGAAAGACAATGTAATATGCAAAGCAAATCTGCCAAGTATATCATAATTATAAATAAAATAGAGAAAATTTCACTTAGAGTAAAGGCAGACTACATAATTCAGACCTCCTACTGAGGACAGCCACAAGAGCTGGGTAAAATATTTTGAAACGTCTGCTTGAAGACACTACAAAGCTAACAAATATCATGAAGAACTACCAGGCCAAGATTTGGAAAAGGTGAAAATCTACAGAGGTGAGTCTGGCATTTGGGACCAGTTTTGTAGAAGGTATTTGATGATTTTGAAGTGACACATATATACAGAGCAGTGCTTTTGACAACTTCAAGGGCTTACGAGTTGCCAAAGTTGCATTCCAGGGTCTGCCAAGGGAGGGGCTGTGGCATGCAGCCACGGCTGGGCTGTGGGTCATCTGGATGGCCTAGAACACCTCAAGTCTAAAATCAGATCAGTTAACCTGGATCACTAGTGCCTCCAGGTACTTGGCAAAACAATCAAATTCCTTCCAGAAGAAAAATATCATCCTGGGCCCCGAGTTATTTTTATAAACATTTTCTAAATACAATGTCTGGCACACACCCAAAGATTACCAGGCACACTAGACTGACAGTGAAAGATGGACGTTGAATCTCTAAGGCAGTGGTTCTCAAAATGTGGTTTCTTTTTTTTTTTTTTTTTTAAAGATTTTTTATTTATTTATTTGAGAGAGAGAATGAGAGACAGAGAGCACGAGAGGGGAGAGGGTCAGAGGGAGAAGCAGACCCCCCGCTGAGCAGGGAGCCCGACGTGGGACTCGATCCCGGGACTCCAGGATCATGACCTGAGCCGAAGGCAGTTGCTTAACCAACTGAGCCACCCAGGCGCCCCAAAATGTGGTTTCTTTATCAGTAGTATCAGCGTTAACCAGTACTCGTTAGCAATGCAAATTCTCAGGCCCTACCCCAGACCCACTGAATCAGAAATTCAGGGGATATGGGGCACAGAGGGATCTGCAGTCCATGTTTTAACAGCATATTTTGGTGATTCTGATGCGTACTAAATTTTGAGAGCCATAGGAAATCTCTAAGCATAAGCAGGAGGACCTCTGTCAGAAATGTTAAGAGAATTATTGCTGCATGTAGGGATAAGCCTGAAACACTCTGAGGTTTCTTCCAACTGAAAGGCTTTGTGACTATGATTTTATAGATGGGAGTGGAGTATAGAGCAGAATAGAAAAAATATGTCCATTGAGGAAAAAGTTGTTCTGGATAAGCAGAGGCACATAACCTGTGAGAATTATCAATAAGCAAGGGAAATACATTACTTTAAAAAGAAAAAGAAAGTGGGGTGCCTGGCTGACTCAGTCTTTAGAGGATGCAACTCTTGATATCGGGGTCGCGAGTTCAAGCCTCACATCAGGCACAGAGTTTACTTAAAAAGAAAAAGAAAAAAAAGGCCGTGTTTCACAAGCTTGGATATCTTTGACTTCTTCAAGTGTTCAAAAAAACTTATTACTCTGGTAATACTTGTCATAAAAAATTCAAACATTATTAAAATGAATTAAGTCAAAGAATCAGGGGTTTAATTAAAAAATAATTTCTAGTCATTAGATAATATTTGGCGCCCATCTGTATTTTAATTTCCTTTTCTTTGAGTGGGGGGCAAGGGGATACCTTTAACCTTCACAGACACTGATTTAAAAACACTGAAATAGGCCCAGGTCTTTACTTAGTATTAATAAATGGCTAAAAGTTCTGGCTTATAGATCATTCTCCTTTGCATTTGTCAGGTTGAGTAACTCTTACGTTACTCCCAATGTAAATAAGAGCCAAAGTGTTAGATTGTCAGATCTTTACATCTGCTAGTCCATCAGCTGTTATTCATCCTAAAGGTGGTGTAGGGATGGATTCTAAAGGTATAGCTAGGGGAGATATTTAAAATATTCAGTAACTGGGATGGCACTGGCACTAACCAAGCTTGCTGTAAAAGGATCCTTGAGACCTCTGCTGTGTTGGGTAACACTCTCTTCAGTTGGGAAAGGATCCTGAATGGCACCCAGATGCCACGGCAGTGGGGAGACCTTGGGACTCAGTTCCACTGCTATTTACCAACTGGTAAGGGAGCCCTTCGATGTCCCAAAATTTGGCACAGCCATACTCAAAAAACTTTCCTGGCCATTGCTCATCTCTACTCAATCAAGTGTCTCCCCCTGCTCACCCCCCACAAGGATGCTTCACATCATCCAACCTTGTCTGTTTCTGAGTAGGTTTCCTGTATCACTGTCTCAGATTCGTCCATGCTTAACTCGGATGACTCTGGAAACTTCCTCGACAAGGCAAACAGCACAGCGTCATGGAGGGTGAGGAAGAGCTGGGCCTTGGTGATGCCAGCGTCAAAGAAATCATTCCTCTCAAAGGCCCTGACCACAGAAGCTACAAACCAAACCCAGAACACACACAAGGTCAGACACCTGGGGAGGAGAGCATTCAGGGTGCAAATAGCCCTCTCATAGGGTGAAGGATACTCACAGTGACACCCTGAAATGAGTACCAAAATGTTCGCATTTTGGAAAGCATTGCACATCTGTGAGGAGAGAGTAAATCAGCGTTAGTTATCTTCATGCTCACTAGGAAAGGGCCTTCTGATTAGCTAAGTTTTGTTGTTGTTTTTTTTTAAGATTTTATTTATTTATTTCACAGAGAGAGAGAGAGTGAGAGCAGGAACACAAGCAGAGGGAGAGGGAGAAGCAGGCTCCCTGCTGAGCAGGTTGCCTGATGTGGGGCTCGATCCCAGGACCCTGGGATCATGACCTGAGCCGAAGGCAGACGCTTAACGACTGAGCCACCCAGGCGCCCCTGATTAGCTAAGTTTTAATACCCTTTGGTCGTTCACTTGTCTGGAGTATATGTATCTCTGCATTCCAATTCAGCTCTATAAACATTTGATGAGTGGACTTTCACATGCCAGGAAATGTCTAAAGTGCTGGGAATACGAAAGAGAATCAGATGTTCTCATGTGGGGTGGGGAGTGAGAGGGAGTGTTGCCCATGGTCTCAGGTGGGAAACAGTTCACATAAATAATGCTCCTGAGCACAGTGCTAGGAGAGAGACAGGCACAGGTGTGATGGGGACATACTGCACAGCCCTCAGGAACAGCCAGATCTTGGTATTATTGCTTAGTGTATGCATGTGACCCCCTTCTTCCTGGAGTTCACTGAGGAGGAAAAAAAAAAAAAGTCGCCCAGAGATGGTCAAGTGACATATAGAGAATGGAGTTCAGGAATCCTGAGGCTCATATTCAGAACTACTCTCCACAGCCCAGCAGCACAACCAAAGACAGAAAAGTCCCAAAGATAAGACATTGAGTTTAATTGAATCTGAAAACGGGGTGGAGACAAGGATGTCTTGGATGGGGGAGCCCTTAACATTAACTTCTTCTGAGCCTCTCATTTTATAGATGAGGAAATGAAGATCCAGTGCAATTTACTAAACTACCTTGGGTCAGATGGACAGCGAATGGTAGCAAAGCCAGGATAGAGGACACAACCACAGATGGCCAAGCAGAGTTCTTTCTGCTCTGAGAAGTTTCCTGTTGCCTCAGACCAAAGAGGAGCTGGACTCATATAAGGGAGAATCATAGTTCTTTAGGAAAAAGAAGATTTGATAAGATAGGATCAGAGGATAAAAGAAGGAAAATCAACCAAAGGATCGGAGGATAAAAGAAGGAAAATCAACCAAAGGAGTAGATCTCAAAAAAAAAGGTGGGTGCAGTCAGACCCAGGAAGTGAGTGTTCAGGATGTTTACACCTGAGCCATCACCAACAGGAGCAAGAGTGGAAGAGAGGGCTGTAGAGGGACATAAGCTGGCTGAAAAGCAGATATTGTACTTAGGAGACATTAACAATAAAGCTGATATGGCTAGTTGTGCATCTAACTGTCCACATAAGGAGAGGAATGACAACTTTTGGAGAAACCAGAGAGTAGGAGAGAAGCCAGGACTCAGGGACACAACTTCTGAAGAACAAGTCATCCCTGCCCTTTTTACCCAAAGATGCAGGCAAGGAGGAAGGAACTGGGGAAATCCTGTGGGTCCTGGACAAGGCAGCCCCAGGCTTGCAGAGTCCTCTTATCACATCTTCACATCTGAGAGTCTTTGACAAGGTCTACTGCAGAGCAGCGATATGGTGGAGGATTCTTGGTGTGCTTTTTTTCTATAGCATTCAGACCTGTTCTTGAAAAGATCTGAACTCCTAGGATATACTGGGAGTGGCTGGGTGGGTAGCACAGATTGCTGCCTCAGTGGTATTAAAATTTCCCACTTTTGAGTTTTTGAGAAATAATATGCCATGCTTAGAGAACCAATCCCTGTTCAATAAATCAGAGTGGTTCATTTTCTTTTTAATCTGGTTGACTTTTTTTTTTTTTTAAGATTTTATTTATTTGTCAGAGAGAGAGAGAGCACAAGCAGGGAGAGCAGCAGGCAGAGGGAGAGGGAGAAGCAGGCTCTCCACTGAGCAGGGAGGCCAACGCGGGGCTCGATCCCAGGACCCCGGGATCATGACCTGAGCCGAAGGCAGATGCTTCACCGACTGAGCCACCCAGGCACCCCTTACTCTGGTTGACCTTAAATTGTCTTTAGTGTCCAAGTTTCTAGTGGCCCCAGAGTCACTAGCAGCTGATCAGTGACAGACAGCATTCAATTGGGATCTGGGCAGGCAGGGGCAGGGGTAGGAGGGGATCAGGGCTCTTGTGAAAGCCTCCTCAATACTTACCTGTCTTAACACCACTGAAGCCTGTGGATCCACAAAATGGACCATGGAGAAATCCAGGATAATGGTGTGGATGCTGGGTAGAAGAGAGATATCTGAGAAGGGGAGGAATGATCTGTCCCTCCCCTGGTTTTCAGCAATGCCAGGCAGTGGCATTGAGCTGTTTCTAGAGGGGTTATTAGAAAGCCAAGCTTTGTCCACAGCCTCGTAGTTTGGCCCAGGGTTTCTGTGAGACATGGAAGATACGGTGTATGGTACTTGTTCATTGGATGTGGACTGGCTCATGTTCATGCTCTCGAAACGTGAGCAGCGGATCAGGTTAATGGAGGAGGAGTCTTGGTCCTGTTTACTTTCAAATCGTTCTGTATAGACAACCTGAAACAACAGAGTTAGGGGAGGACAGTGAGGAGGCTCAGAGGAGGGCTACTATGCCATTTCTGTCTATGGACTCACCTTCCTCTCTGGCAGGAAAGCTCCCTGTGGACTAGGAGCTTGGATTTCACTTGGATACCTCATTGTCACTTTGAGCTCACAACTAAAACCACATTCACCAATGTTTCCCTCCCAACTTCCCTCGGTGTACCAGGGATGATTTCATTGTCCTGCGAGCCAGACTTAAAATCACCTTTGCTTTACTCCTTCCCCTCATCCCTGGGTTCTAATTTGTCTCCAGCACCTCCTAACACATTGTTTGAAGTGTTTCCTCCATCAGTCCCTTTCTCAATGCCTCCATCTTTCATCAGACTTCCTTAAGAAGATAGAAGTTACTCGAGCAGGGCTGTCTTTGCCTTTTGCTCCTTTCATCCTAATAGGCCTGGAGTGCCTGCCATAGCTTAAGGACAGTACCAAGTCCCAGGAATACAATGGGCATGCAGTCACAGGCCCCAGGTTCTGCCTGTGTGCCCATTCAAAGGAGAAACAAAAACACAGATAGACAAGAACTATAAGGTACATGGAAACATTTTTTAAAAGTTCACTTGCTAGAGTGGTATAGTTTGGGGTGATGTTTCTTCTTTTTTTTCTGTTGTGCTAATAATATTGCTTATGAAATAAATTTTAAAAACATTAAATGTGAAGGTAAAAACTGTACAAGGTAGTATATGTTGTAGAGCAAAAAAAAAAAAAAAGTGGTATGGATGGCTAATAAATTATAGTTCAATGGAGAGGGGTGTTCCTCAAGGCTTGAGAGTCCCTCAGGCCAGGCCTTTGGGGGAACAGTGGAGGATGGGCTCAGTGGCGGGGAGATGCAAGGTCCTTCAGGTGGAAGGAGACCTCTGAGAGCCTCCCCTTACTCTCCCTCATCCACTCTACACACTCTTGTCCCTTAAGGACTTTCAAGATTCACTCGCACCTGTTGTCTGCCTGAACTTACTTCCTAGGACAAGCCTCTTACTCAGAGGACCCCATACTTATTTCCACCCCAGTTTCTTTGTCCAACCTTATCCACAGACGGGAATCCTCTTTTTCCCCATCTGACCTAAATCCAAATTTCTCTCTCCTGCCTAGCTCAAGTCCATGGTTACCAGGAGATTTGCCTGACTTTTTGAACTCATGCCAATCTTTCTTTATCTGAAGTCTTAGAGTTGTTAAAGACACAATTCTGAACATGACAGTATACTGTGTGGAATGGTTGACTGTCCTACTTCACCAATTTTTTAAAAACATTTTATTTATTTATTTGAGAGAGAGAAAGCACGAGAGAGACAGAAACACGAGCCAGGGGAGGGGCAGAGAAGCAGACTCCCCACTGAGCAGGGAGCCCGATGCTGGACTCAACCCAAGGACTCTGGGATCATGACCTGAGCCAAAGGCAGAAGCTTAACCAACTGAGCCACCCAAGTACCCCTACTTCATCAATTTTAAGATGCACCACACTTCTTTATATTGTCAAGAAAGAAAAACAAATCACTGCAAACTAAACTGTGACATGCCATCAATTACACAATGAATCCAAATTTCAGAGATGTGAAAAGAACATATATCTTAGGATTGATAAAATACAGAAATAGCCTTGTAGGTCACATTAATAGAGAGTCATCTCCCTAGTCTGACTTAAAATTCCATGTATTGGGGCCCCTGGCTGGCTCAGTCAGTAGAGCATGCAACTCTTGATTTCAGGGTTGTGAGTTCGAGCCCCATGTTGGGTGTAGAGATAACTTAAAAATAAAATTGTTAAAATAAAATTCCATGAATTGTTTCAAAATAATTTTGTGATTTTGAGGGGCTATATACGGGTGGGCATAGAGATGAAACAAAATTGACCATGAGTTGATAAATCTTGAAGTGGATGGTGGGAATATTGAGGCTCATTATACTTGTCTCTACTTTTGTTTATGTTCAAAATTTCCTTTTTTTTTTTTTTTTTTTAAAGATTTATTTATTTGACAGAGAAAGATAGCGAGAGAAGGAACACAAGCAGGGGGAGTGGGAGAGGGAGAAGCAGGCTTCCCGCAGCTCAGGGAGCCCAGTGTGGGGCTCGATCCCAGGACCCCGGGACCATGACCTGAGCCGAAGGCAGACGCTTAATGACTGAGCCACCCAGGCGCCCTATGTTCAAAATTTCCATGAAAAAACATTTTTAAAAAAGAACAACCTGGATGAAGCTGCAGGACATTATGATGAGCGAAGTAAGCCAGTCACAAAAAGACAAATCCTGTATGATTCCACTTAATGAGGGATCTGGAATAGTCAAATTCATAGAGACAGAAGGTAGAGTGGGGGTAGTCAGGGGCTGGGAGGAGGAGGAAACGGGGAGCTGTTGTTTAATGGAGACAGAGCTCCAGTTTTGCAAGATGAAAAAAAATCTGCAGATAAATGGTAGGGATGGTTGCACAACAATGTGAATATATTTAACGCCACTGAACTGTATACTTCAAAATGGTTAAGATGGTAAATTTTATGTGATGTGTTTTACCTCAATAAAAAAGAAAAAGAAAAAAGAACTACCTGAGGACAGAGACCCTTCAAATTCGTTTTCCTTTTTCATAGTGTCACAGTTCTGGGTGTAGAGTAGAAGTTCAATAAATACTAGGTGATCCTATTCCACTCTAAAGTGTATTTGCTGATGCCCTGTAAACACCCTCTATGATGCTCAGTGCAGTGTGGAAACAAAAATTAGAGAGAGTGGTAATTCTGTCCTCTTGGCAGGAAAGTTGGTGTTTTCAGGGAGTTGAGTAGAACTTATGCTCCATTAGGGTATAGGGGAATGAGAATGGGTGCTTAGTGTTTGCAGGTGTCTACATCAGGGGGACAGGAGGTGTTTTTGTCGGGGGGAGTAAATGTGCGTGTGTGTGTGTGTGTGTGTGTGTGTGTGTGTACAGAATTCCCCTCCAGGTATAGGTATAGACTGGGTGAAAGGCCCCAAAGCTAGAAATGAGCTCTTTGGAAAGGGAATAAATATTAGACGAAGGGAATTAATTTAGACCAAGTCTGAGTTGGAAATAATGAACACTTTGTAATTCATCAGCTAAAATAACCTTCAGATGGTGTAAAATTTCCATCTATACTTATCCACCCTCCACTCCCCATCATCGTTTCCTTGGTCACAGGCAGACATCAGAAGACCCTGGCACATCCTTAAGAACCCCAGCCACATCGACTCTGCTGCCTTAGTTGGAATTAGAAACAATCTTATTTTTTTTAGAGGGGGGATGAGGAGCAGAGGGAGAGGGAGAGAGAGAATCCCAAGCAGGCTCCATGCCCAGGACTGAGCCCGACTCAGGGCTCGATCCCACAACCCCAAGATCATGACCTGAGCCAAAATCAAGAATCGGATGCTTAACCGACTGAGCCACCCAGGGGCCCCCAGAAAACAACCTTTAAGTCACTTATTTTCAGAAATCTAAAGCCAGGCAGGTAAAAGTTAGAGAAATAGGTATAACTAAGGTATTACTATCAATCTCAATAGGCAGAGTGTACTCTCTCTGCTCAGATTAGTCACTGGCCATTGAATAGGGACTCAAACATCTCCTCCTACCTACTTAAGTCAAGATTTAATCTCAAAGGGGGCCCTGTGTCTTCATTTCTGAGTAGAAATCTTTGATTTCCAATTACCCCAGAGCCCACCTAAGAGCCAAAGTCCCTGAGGGGGTTTCAATTTTCTTTCCTTGCTTCTTCTTTTTCAACGACTAATGCATGTGTCTTTATAAAATGTGGAGAATGTTATGCAGAAAGGAAGAGACGTTTCTAACCCTGGGCGACAGCTCTACTTCATCACAGTTGCAGAAACACTGACATATCTTCTCTTCCCGTGAGCCTTCTTCACTTTGATTAAACAGACGGAACACTTCTTCTTCTTTAAGAGGCACTCTTACCATTTCAACCTGAGAGAAGTAAGAGAGGTCTCATACAGGTGGTGAGTGGGCAAAGAGGGGGCACCTGGGGAAGGGGAGGGGAGCAGGTGGAGAAAGGCAAGGGAGGCAGCCATCACCTCTTTCAACAGCTTGTGCTTTAGGTGATTAACATTGACAAATGTGATAGAGTTGCAGCACTGGAAGATTTTCACCCCAGGAAGGTTTGTAACCTGCAAGTCAAATGTAAAATGGAGGGCAATTTCTCAGCTCTTTTATGGAGCAAAAAAAAAAAAAAAAAAAATCTCTAGAACCCCCTGGAGAATCTGTATTCTTCTTTATAAGAGGCCAGAATTAACAAGTTCTTTCCACTCACTTTTACCCCCTGCTTTCCTGCTTTCTTCTTCCCCCTCCATTTGCTCTTTTCTTTTTCTTGGCCTCCTTCCCCCTAAAGGACGTGATCCTTAACTGGCTACTGTAGTCTAAGGATCTACCTACTTAAGTCACCTGCCTCTGCCTTCCTGCCTCCCTTTCCCCAGCTTGGCAGATGCGTATCTGTAGTTCAGCCAACAACAGCAAAGGGATTTTGTAGAAAAACTAAGCAGCAGGCCTGGTCCAGCCCATCCTTTGGGCGAAGGAGCGGAACTGATTTGGAGTCTTACCTCCCGATAGTCACTGAAGCTTCTATAAATGTTGGTGTTAGGGATCTGACCCAGGAGGAGAATCTTAGTTCTGAAAGGAAATGTATTTGCTTTTAGGTCATAGTTGCCTTACCTCACCATGGCCAACCTCCTATTACCTGAGACAAAGTACCTGTGTGACCGAACAGTGATGATGAAGAAGGCAAAAGCTACTGAAACAAGTAGTCCAACATCCAGTCCCAGGAAAATGGCAGATATGAACGTCACCAACCAAATAACCTTATGGAAAAGGGGAAGAAGGGCAAGGGAAGACCATGACAACAAGCAGAATTGAGAAAACCACCAGTTCTCTCAACTCCCCTTCCCCCTCCCCTCCCTCCCAACACCTCGAATTTAGAACACAAATTCCACAGCCATATGGACTGACGCCATCACAAATGATTGGGTTCCAAGGCTGTCTAGCAATTCCTGTGTGCATCCTTGGTCGTTCCTCTTTTCAATTCTCTCTTGAAACCTCATGCGCAAAATAGGGATGACAATATCTACTTTATGGGCTTTGTTGAGATTGGAAATCCTGATCCTAAAGCAACCCAGAACACTCAACAAATGAATGGTAGTTGCTATTTTAAGACCTATCGTGTACAACTTTTCAAGCCCTTACCCCACCACCTTTTCCATCACTCTCAGCAGCCAACCTGACTCATCTTCACAGAGCAGATAGGCTCAAACTCCCTTAAATATTTACTTCCCCCTTCACCTGCCACTTGTTAGTAGTATCCATGCTTAACTTTCCCTCATTCTCTTCGCTCCTGTTGGAAGTGCTCTCCCTCCTTCTGGGCCAAGAAGTGACCCCTCTGCACTGGACCACATCCTCTCTTAGCTCCTCAGGGACCTGGATCCCAAAACTATTCCCTTTCATGTCTCTTTGCCTCTACCAGGTTCTTCCCCCCTCTCATGATATTACATCTACCATCTTTTATTTTTTCCTGTTTCCCATTTATGTTGTGCTCTAGATGGAAGGAGGGTGCTCCATCGGTTAGTCTGCCTGGCAAGACACTGCCTTCTCTTAGTAAGATTTGTGCCTCCTATCCTGGAATGCGTTCACACTAACTGGATTAAAAGTCATTCACCTACGTCATGTATGACCAACCTTTTTTACTAGATTTGTATCTAACTCTAGCCATTAATTCCTTTTTATTTGCGTAGTTTTTGGAATGAGGTCTCAATATTTCCATGCACCAATAACCTTGACTTCCCCCCCTTTTTTAAGCTAGAGTATTAGTTATCAAAGAATCGCTAGTGTCCTTCATCCTGATCTTTTTTTTTTTAAATTTTCTGGTTTTTTTTAAAGATTTTATTTATTTATTTGAGACAGAGAGAATGAGAGACAGAGAGCATGAGAGGGAGGAGGGTCAGAGGGAGAAGCAGACTCCCTGCCGAGCAGGGAGCCCGATGCGGGACTCGATCCCGGGACTCCAGGATCATGACCTGAGCCGAAGGCAGTCGCTTAACCAACTGAGCCACCCAGGCACCCCATCCTGATCTCTTTTGTTTGTTCTTGTTCCCTCTTTCTAACGTTCCCCTCTGTCCTTCCGTATTTCAGCCAGTGCATCTTTACTCACACAGTCATATTGATTCTGCCTCCACAAACTGGGTAGGTTGTAAATGGTTTCAAAGTAGGGTAGGATGTTGCTCAGGATAATACCAGCCAGCACAGCCTATGGGGAAAAGGTAAACCCTGCTTCATTTTCCCTTCGGGGGTAAAACTCCCAAATCTTCACAAAGGAACCACAAAAAAAGTCAGCCATGCCACTCAGCGATGTAAAAATTATCAGGGCCTCAAAGCAGAATCTAACGTACTTTAAGAAACATTTTCTTGTTTTCATGAAGTCCCTGCACTAGCTTAACATTTCTTAGCCTTTTCCTAGCCATTTCTCCTCTATGTGCTATGCTCTGCCTGGGAATTAGAACTGATCCTATCACCAGGAATGGCTGGGTCCAAGCTTACTCTGGTTTTCTGAGGTTACTCAGTGACCAGTGGACTCAGTAGGTCAGCAGAGGAGGGATGGGCAAAGACGAAGTCAGTAGAAATCACTTCTTTCCCATCTTCATCTTCTTTTCAGTCAAGAATCTCTAAATGTCCTGCAATTTGCAGGGACATGTGGTGGGAAGGAAAAGAAACTCCACCTCATAGAGTTTTTGCAAGATTTTTGGCAAATCTTTTCGTAAAACAATATATGATAAAAATGTAGCCTTTCTGGATATTAAGGTAAAACATGTTCATGTATAAAGAAAGAAGTAGACTTATATATAATTTCCATCATCCAAGAGATAACCATTGGTAACATTTTGGTATGTGCTATATATTTTTTCACACAAAATTGGAACAATATTGAAGATACTATTGTGTATCATGTTTATAAAAAAATTGTGTTGGTCCCCTTGCTAACTGGTTGAGATCCTAGCCAGGATGCTCCACCAATTACTCCAATAAGAGTTTTATAACAAGCTATCCATAATCTCTCAAGGAAGGAAGGGATCATTCATAGTTTAGTACCCATAGAGCCCCATTATTATAGCAGTTCAGCTATTCCACTGATCAGATGGTGTTCACAACTTCTCATCCAGAAACATCCTAACTAGATGCTATAAAAATAATGTGACATAACATGGTGAGCCAAAAGCAAGGGTTGTTCTGTCCCCAACGTATTTATAATAAAGGAGTGCCCTTAGTGAATTCTGACAGATTTTTATTTGTTTGCAATTTTAAAAAATTCTGATTCTTCTAGCTATAAAGAAAAAAAATCCATGTTCAAAGTGAATTAGTGAGCGGCTCTCCTAAAATAGACTCTAAGAGTTATAGCACCTTGCTATAGAAACTACATTCTGGAGATGACTTCTGCTGGGAATCGGAGGACAGCTTGTGTGATAAATACAAGCTTAATCCCACCTTCCATGCATATAGATTCTGGGGCTGAGTTCCAAGATCTCTGACTCACAAGATCAGAAGGCAGCAGGAGCCTTGAGGTAGTCCTGCTCTTCTGAAACCTGGTATTTACCAGGTGGGATGGAGGTGTTCAAAAGGATGGGGATAACATTTACAACCACTCCAGCTTTAGGGACTGCCACCTCAGTGTGTAACCAAGCTGCTCCCCCAGTCATGAAACCTCTTCCCACCTCCCTTGGTACTATCTAAAAATGGCGAAAGGAACATTAAGGAAATTTACAAGGAAATTGTGGTCACTGAGCATTGATCTGTATTGTAACAGAGAATAAATTGATGACCGCCAATCATTGAATGCACCTGGCATCTAGATGCAAGGCGATCAGTCTCTCGCAAAGGGAAGAAACGGCAAGTATATAGAGGCAGCCCAGCTGAACAGGGTTAAAACCCAACTTTCAGACCCTGCTTTCTAGTGAGCGGCAGTAATAGGAGGATTGAGTTCATATGAATGCAGAACAAGGCCTTCTGGAAACGGCTTAGGAAAACAGATGGCATGAATACACAATGAGTTTCCAAGCCTGAGTCAGTGAGGGGCGTTCTGGCATCTGAAGTCTATTTTGGTCATCTTTAACTGAATCCTTACTTATAAAACTTACTTTATAGCTGAAGCAATAAAAAGAAGATTAATGAGAATGAGAATAGTAACAATAATACCTAATATTTCTTGAGCACTTACGATTAGCTCAACACTGTTCTATGTTATAAACATTACCTTATTGAACTCCCAGTCCTGTGAGGTGGATGCTATTATTTTAAAGGGAAGGGATGAGAGATAGGACAGGGTGACCACTGGAGACAAGGTGAATACCCCACCAAGATGCAATCTGGAGATCTGATCTTTCTCCACTCAATTATTTATCAGTTCTACTTACATTTGGCATTTCGTGGAAAAAGCGTCCCACCTTCACCATCAGGAGCAGCATCACACCTGCGCCTACCAGAGATGCAAACTGAGGAGACAGAGCCAGTTGGAGAGAGACCATCAGGAACGTATTTGTCCTTGTCTGCAACTGAGGCCTTCTGCTTGGTGAGAAGTGCGTCATTTTTTTCTTAAAAGGAGTTGAGTGTAACCATCCAGCATAAGTGCATTTTTGTTGAACTGACATTTTCAGGTCTTGTCAAAGTGCTGAGCATACACTAAGAAATACTTGTTGAATGAATGCATGAATGCTTTCTGAAAAGTGCTAAATTGTGTTGGCTATTTGAATCTTTATTGCCCTAGCTTTGCGCTGTGAAATCTGGAGTCTCCTAAGGTCGGGCTTGCATTCCCTCCCAACTTTAACTCCTCCTGGAACAGTCTAGAAAAGCCCTAGTAGACTCATCACTGTCCGCCCTAAAATCCCAACCCTTCCACTTCCCATATCACTAAATACTTCCCCCCTCGCTCTCCAGTTTGGAGCTTGGATAGCTTCCCATCGAACAGTGTTAGAAGCGCCATCTTAAAAATGCAATGATAATCATTTCTGATGTTCCTCAGTTTTTCTCTGCTTCATTACCATAAAAAAAAGTTACAAATGTGAGTCAGGGCTGCAGATAGCAGCTCTGGGTCCTATCCTAGCTGGGTGGATGACTCTGGGCTCAGTGTTGCTTGGTATGCAGTGGTTCTGATTAGCAACTAGAGAGCAAACTGAGCGACACAGTTCCCTTTACAGTCTCAAGGCGCTCTGGACATAGTCTTGAACTCAGTATGTCCTCCATGGATAAATCTCCATCATTTAAGCCCCTAATAATAAAAACTGATACAAAGCAGTATAATCACCCACTATGTTGGGGGATGTGTGTGGGGGAAGATAAAACAAACCACAAATCAGAACAATGGCATAAACAAGCAAGAACTGAGGGAGTCCCTCAAAGTTAAACCATTAAGTGAACCGCTCAGCAATGATTCTCGACTTCTCTCTATTTCTTAGGAGTGGAAAAAAAGAAAGAAAAACCTTCCTACTGGATTCCCTCTCGCTGCTCACTGCTATTTGCGTATAAATGCATCACTGAAAGTAATAGCAAGGAATTCAGTTTCCTACTTCATTCTTTCCCTATCCCGGCTGCTTTGCAGCTGACACCACTTGATGTAGTGTTGAAAGGAGGATTCAGGAAAATGGACCACTACAAATGAAACTCAGGAAGTTCTACGGACAAACATTTTATACCCTTTAGAACTGAAACAGGTAACTGAGACCATAAGCTCCTCCAGCCAATGTATACATGCCTGTTGCTGGATCTAGTGTAAGAGTCTCGCTTCGGATGGTCTTTGTTGGCACTGTAGAAAAACTACTTTGATCAGCACAGGAAAATTCATCAGGACGTTTCTTCCTACCACTTCTTCTTTGTTGTTGTTCGTTTTGTTTTGTTTTTGTCTGTTTGGCTTGGTGTTTTGGTTTTTTGGTGTCCCTGGGTAAGCTTGACCTACCTACCACTTCTTTTCTCCAAGTTCTTCAGATTGAAGGAAACAAAGATATGTAGATGCTAAAAAAAAGCTGCATAAAACCCAGATTTAAATGAGTACAAATGAGACACTGAATCCCATAAAATTTGCTGCTGAGAGAGGGTTGGGAGGCCTGCCAATAATTGTGTCTCCCTTGGCTGCACACACAAAGGAGTGGACTTTGGGATCAGAGGGCCATGCTTGGTGGCATCGTGCCTTAGGAGGATGCCTGATGGCTCTCAGAATCTCAGACTCCATGTCTGAACAGGGTCTGAAGACAGCAAGCATGTAGAACTTTATATCTCGTGCATATTTTGCTATTCTGCTCTCATTTTCCATCACTTCCCGGGTTTTCTTGAACAAAAACTGACTCAGCCTTCTTGTTGGGAATTCAAGGCACTGTGAGTTCTCACAAGCCACAGCCACTATCAACATGTGGACCCTCAGACACCAATTACTCCATACACAGTGGGTTCCATAAATTGAAGAGTAGATTGCCAAGTACTGGCCAGAGCCTTAGGGACCTGGGGTAGAAGCTATGATTTTTTTTTTTTTTTAAAGATTTTATTTGACAGAGACATAGCTAGAGAGGGAACACAAGCAAGGGGAGTGGGAGAGGGAGAAGCAGGCTTCCCACTGAGTGGGGAGCCCGATGTGGGGCTCGATCCCAGGACCCTGAGACCATGACCTGAGCCAAAGGCAGATGCTTAACCACTGAGCCACCCAGGCTCCCGAAGCTACAATTTTTGAAACTCTTAAGTGACAGGCCCTATGATAGGCACTATTATCATCTAATTTAATTCTTACAACTGAAAAGTTATCTTTATCCCCATCTTACAGATGAGGACTAGAGCCTCAAAAAGCAAAAGTAACTTGCCCAAGGTCACACATCTAGGAACCACTGAGTCAGGTTTCAATCTACCCGACCAGCTGACTCCAAGATCTAGGCTCTCTCCAACTGCCCCATTTGCTTCCTCTAAAAAGAATACAACACATTTCTTTGTTTTATTATCTCTTTCTTTTCTAATAATTATTTTTTTTAAGCAGTTCTCATAGCCTGGGGACATGGCTAGAAGGCCAGTCCTTGGAAATCAGGGAACAGGGAAAGGAGCCCAATCATGGAGAACAGGGAAACTCAGTGGTCAGAATGAGATGAACCTGGTGATGGAGTGGGGGACAGTCCAATTGGCCACAGGTCTGGGGCTCTTCACATCCCCTCTGCCCTGGCCTGCCAACACTGCAAAGCCAGGCCATGACTGGAAGAATCAATAGGTTTTGCTGCAACCAGTGAAGATAAGTGGGTTCTAGACAAGGAAAATTAAAGTGAAATCCAGAAATAAAGTGGCCTTTGGTGGCAGGTCAGGTCTGAGAGGTACAGAGCCAGCCCCTTAGCTTCTCTTTCCTATAGTCCTGAGGAACTTTGAGGAAATTAGGGTGTCCTCTGGCAAAGTGACTCAAAAATCCCCAGAGAGGAGGGATAGCGAGAATACCCCCACTGCTGTGGGATGAAGAAGGCTAAATGAATCTCAGAGGCCCTTGCTTGTCCAGAACAGAAACTCAGCGTGGAGGCTGGGGAGCCCCAGTGCCTCCAGGGCCAGGGACCAACTGGCATTCTCTGCCCAAACCAGCAATTTACTGGGCAAATTCAGGTCTCAGGGAAGGGCTGACCAACATCCTTAGGACAATGCCCCTCCTGAAGTGTCACTGCCCCACAGGGAGAGTCATTGGTAGGAAAATGTGCTGCATAGGAGAACAATGCTGCAGCAGCTGCAGAAAATAGAATGAGAGCCCCAGGCTACCTCTGAAGGGGGCACTTTGTCAGACAGGCTAAACTCAACTCAAGCTGAACTGAAGGCCTTCTTCCTTCCTGCTATCTACACATAGCCTAACCTTCTTTGTTTCTTTTTTTTTAATTTTTAAAAGATTTTATTTATTTATTTGACAGAGAGAGACAGCGAGAGCAGGAACACAAGCAGGGGGAGAGGGAGAAACAGGCTTCCCGCCGAGCAGGGAGCCCGATGCGGGGCTCGATCCCAGGACCCTGGGATCATGACCTGAGCTGAAGGCAGCCGCTT